AACGTTTGCAAATATATGTACAAATTTTATAATATTATGTACTTATTTGAAGATTTAGATGGGTACAACTATGTAAGTCAAATATGTTCATGTTGTTTTTCTAATTAAACAGATAAGTGAAACATTAAATCTTCTAAAACCGTATTTATACATCACATGGTGGTGGTAGAATTGGTTGCATTATATAAGTAAAACATAAACAATTCTAAATTAAGTAATAAATAATTCTAAATTAAATTAAAAACTACTCTAAAGCATCATCTAATAGAACATACGGATGATTATTCGTGTGATTAAACGGAAAACGACCAACTAATCACTAAAAACGGAGATTTGACGTTGACGAACAATAAATGTATACCCACGTTAACGGAACAATTTTACTACCGTTTAAGTATATACGGCCGTTTTCCAAAACACTGTCGCGGAGATCAATCTGCAACAAGCCGACCACACCACGCCACCAACCGGCCAAGCACTAGAAGCAGCAGCGTGGCCCCGGTGGCATGGAGCTATTCATCCAATCAACTTAAGTGCATGTATCCGGTCAAAAAAAAACTAAAGTGCATGTACATCTACTGATCTGCTTCAAGATCAACGTCGACGTCATCTAGCGATCATCACCACCTCTACGGCAAGACATGTGCATGTCCAATGTATACGTGCATAATCAACCAAAGCCAATCTACAGCTGCGACGAACGTCTTCACCGAACTCCCACACGTGGTCGCCAACGACGTGCGCTGCAACTGTGACACCAGATCGGGCCAGCCGCTGCATCTATAGCCTGTACGACTACGCGATCGTCTTCACCGATCCTATAACACCAGTGGTCTTCATCAACTTGCCGCCACCGACTTATCCACATAGATGAACACCTCGCATCCTCTAACAGATACATTTGCAATACGCTTCTTCGACGACATCGATCGTGTCCTCTACAACGGCAATGCACCGTCGACGGCATCAACTACGTCATCTACGATGATAATAATTGCATCACATTACTTCAAAAGTGATTTTTCTGTATGATACCCATTCATTTTTGCAAACGGACCATAACTAGTGGCGTCTACAAAAATCGAGAGGCATTTTCGCATATGGCTTCTTAATATGCCCATATGAAAAAATCGATTTTCCCATACGGGCCTCTTAAGAGGTCCGCATGCAAAAACATTTTTGCATATGGCTCACTTAAGCGCCCGCATGGAAAAATTGATTTTTCCATACGGGAGTCTTAAGGAGCCGTATGCAAAAATAAATTTAAAAAATTTGAAACTAGTATATCTCACTCATACGAACTCTAAATTGGATGATTCTTTTTCCTAAATGTTTCTAAAATCATGCTCTATTATATCATTGTGTTCTTCCTGCTATTATTTTGACCATTTTTTCTGGTGACTTTGTTTTATCAATCAAAAAATTGAATTTCAAAACTTCAAACAATATTTTCAAATACTAAATGATTTCAGCTGAAAAAGTTATCAATAACAAAGTTGTATAACTCATGAAAATCTATAACTTCTATTTTGATCATTTCTTTATCCAACAAAGTGATGGTAGCATCTCTCTTATAGTTTATAAAACTATATAAGAGATATGTACATTTTATAAACAATTTTACAAATCACTTTGTCGGATGAAGAAATGACGAAAAAAAAAGTTATAGATCTCGATGAGTTATTGATGAATTTTCTATTTGAAATCATTTAATATTTAAAAAATGTTGTTTGGAGTTGTCATAGTTTGAAATCCAAATTCAAACTGTCGAAACAAAGTCATATAGAAAAATGACCAAAACAAAAGTTGTAGATCTTGATGAGCTATTCAACTTTTTTGTTGACAATTTTTTTCATTTCAAATCATTTACTACCCGGAAAATTATTTGAATTTATTATATTTGAAAATTCAAATTTTATATAGTTAAATCAAACTCGGATGGCAAAATGACCAAAAGAAAAATGGTAGGTCTCAATGAGTTGTACAACTTTGCTTTTGACAACCTTTTCACATGAGTTTATTTAGCAACTTAAAATTCGACTCGAACTTTATTTAGTATCAAATTAATATTTTTAATAATTATTTTCGCATGCGGTCCTCTTAAAGAGCCGCATGCAAAAATATATTTTTGCATGCGGACGGTTAAGTGGTCCGCATGTAAAAATGCCCGTATTTTTTAGTCCTCCTCTCTCAGTTTCCCTCCTCATCATTTCAAAATTTTTCAACCACTGTTGGTATTTCTTACGACCACAGATAAATCCGCAAGCGCACGGAATACCGTTGTAGCACTTCACCTTCGGGTGATCCTAAAAGGATATCGAACTCAGGGAACGTGTGTAATCTACCTAAGGCTAAGACTATCCAAGGACAACTAATGATAGGTAGACTAGGATAAAGAGGACTTCCTATGTGTATTAATTATCTAAGCTAAGGTAATTTTCTATCTGTTGCTTTGGGCACCGACCCCTGCTGGTCTGCCAGCGTGGTTCCAGCTATAGCTCTGTGATGTATCCGTACGTGGAGGATTACACGGACGGGATTCAGGGCTGTCACCACCTACCGCCTACCTCTGACAAATCCGTGGGATACACAACAAAGAAAGGTAATCTCTAATCTAGACACCATGTCTAAGTTATTAATTACTACTCTAATACTTGTACATGAACTTCCTTCTCTATCTGGAGTCCTAGTACTAGAGCACTTAATACGAATACTAAACAATGAACCCGTAAAGATGAAAATCTATCTTACTTAGACAAAGTAATTAAATAACATAAGAAAGGAACACGAATGCTTACTTTATAGAAGAAGTTTCTCCAAACCCAGAGCAGAGTGTACCGACAGCTCCGGTACAACTCCAGAATTCCTCCTAGGAAGCTACACTCATCGAGGTAGAAGTTGGATGAGCGGCAAACTTTCGGGCACTCCTCCAAAGCTTCCCCTCACTCTCTACCTAATTCTAATGTACAAAAGATAAAATAGAGCCTCTTGTAATTCAGCTCAAAGTTGTGTGTGAGTGAAGGGAGGGAGAGGAGCTCTATTTATAGCCTCCATATGACGATTACAGGTATGGGAAACGACCAAAACGCCCTTAACCGTCATTGGGAATGCATCAGCAGCGTACACGTGGAAGGCCAGGATGAGAGGAGCTTGTGGTGGTTCAGCCGAACCCTGGGCCCCATCTCCTGGCTTCTCCTTTGGCAGGGTCACTGACTGGTGAGCCCTAGTGACGGTTATGGCAGTTATGACCCGTTCCATGGTGGTTTCACCTGACTTGTGGGCCCTTCAATCCGTGTACTTGCGTCTGATTGGCTAGAAGTGTGTTTCCTCGCATGACATGTGTGTTTTCTCCTTAACATACCTGCATACACATATTTCACCAACACTAGTGGAATTGATTAGTAATAATCCCTACCACTAAGTTGGATACAATGTTTTATTTCATTATATGCAGGTATTGACGGTCAAATATTATGATTTAAGGACCATCAACAACACCCCCACACTTAACCTTTGCTCGTCCCGAGTGAAGGCAATGGACTCTACAATAGAGTTGTCGACGTTTGATGTCGTGATTCCGGTATTTGCATAGTATGGGGATCGTTGGTACTAGGATATATGCGAGATTGTAATAAAAAAGATGGGGACGAGGATTTTTATACAGGTTCGGGCCCCTGAATTGTCAGGTAATAACTCTACTCCTGTTGGCCGAAGCCGGTCATTGCTCTTATTCACCATAATCACACCAGTACAATATTTGGGGTAGCCTATTTAACTGTTGTCGACTTGGCGGTCTGAAGTGCTGACTCGTAGTCGACAACAGGGTAGCCTTCCTCCTCGAATCCGCATCCAGCGAGATCAAAGACAACGCTATGTCTCTCCTGACAGTATCCGTAGACACCGTAGGGGACTAGCCATGCTTATCTCTGAAGTCGATATCCGGCGTCTTGTCTTGGTGCATGTTGGCTTGTATGTTGATCTTGTGTCTTGATCTATTGTTCCGTGTCCCCTCTCCTCCTAGGAGGCCTTGTATTTATACCCATAGGTGTCTCCTTGTCCAAGTAGAATTAGGGAAACTAATATGGATACAATCCGAGTAGTCCTTATTGTTTCCATGTAGAACTCTATTCATCCTTCCTTATGCGGAACTCCTCCTATATCCGAAGGTTGTTTCCGTTTAAGACATGGTATGTGGTGGGTCCTGCCGAGATTTAGTCAACTACTATTAGGTATGTGGTATCCATAACCCTGACAAGAGTTACGACTTCCTTACTAATAATCATGCAAACAAATTATTCAAAGTCATACATGTACTTGTGAAATACCATGCAGTCCTGAGCAATTGAGAAATGGAACAATCTTTACTCAAGTCACCCTAACTTTTCATGAAGAACAACTTGGGGTTTTTCATGTAACACAAAATTATAACTTTGCTTTGCTCCTCAATTAATTCTCTCAATCACTCAAGGTGTATGATTCCTCACAAATGCATATGATTGTGCCTTTTATTTTCCTACCATCTAATAAGGCCTATGTGGAGCTTAGGGTATGGAAAAGAGTAGAGCATTACTTGCATCACATATATTGCAAAGTCAAATAAAGGATCCACGGAAATACAAGTGTCACGTCCTGATTTTTTTCGCTTTCTGTTCTTCTCGCCTATTTGCGAAAATTCACATTTGGTTTATTCGTCTAAAATAGCTTAATGAAAATTTCGTTAAATCAAACGGTTTTAAAGTGATTAATTAATTAATTACGTTGTTCGCTTTGTGATTCTTAATTGGAGTTAATTGGATTTAATTTGTATTTTGGAAGTGGAGCTCAATCCCTAATTCAAATTCCATCCAAATCCAATATTCCTTTTCAAATCCTAAATCCTTCCCAAAAATTCCAAATACTTTATATTTGGAATTTTCCATAAAAGTCCCTGTCTTTTTCCCTTTTTCCTTCCTCTCTTTTTCTCTATTCTGCCCTTTTGCAGTTTAGCCCTTATTCTTCTTCCTTTTTTCTTTTTCCCCCACCTTCTTCTACCTCCAGCTCTCTCTCTCTCCTTCTTGAGCTGCAAGCCTGGGGAAGCCAAGCCCCAAGCCCACGTGCCGCCTCGGCCTGGCCTCCTCCTCCTCTCTGTGTCGCCAGCCCAAGCCACCGCCGACCGAGCCCGCGCCAGCCGCGCCGCAAGCCCACACGGCCGCCGCCAAATCCCGCAAGCCGCGCCGCCAAATTCGGAGCCGCCGCCTTTCCAAAGCTTGCGCAGTGCGCCCTAACCCTAGCTACTCCCTCCTCTATAAATACCGTCGGCCCCCGCCCCCTTTTCCCCCTTTTTTTCCAAAGCCGCCGCCATCTCCACCGTGAGCAGCCGCCGCCGGGAGCCGCGCCGTTATCGTCACCGTCTTCCTACCGCACCGCAGCCGCTGGTAAAGCCCTGAGGCCGAGCCTCTTTTCCTTCCGCGCCGTTTTCCTCTCTCCTCAACTCCGGTGTCCGCCGCTCGTCATTGATGGGTCATCTCCAATTCGTCCCGGAGCTCGGTGCTGCGCCACCGGATTCGCCTCCGCCTCCTCTTGCCGACGCCGCTGCTCGTCACTGCAGCTGCGCGCCGTCGCCGGAGAACGCCGCCGACGTCGCTGTGCCGGAGTCGCCATGCCGCCATGGCCGGGCACGCCCAGGCCTGTGGTGGAGCAGCTGCTCCTTGTCCTCTTCCTTGTGACACTGACGTGTGGGACTTGCCATCTAGAAACTCCAAATAATCACAGTCGTCCAAATCCCTAGATCAAATCCCAACCGTTGGATCTACATAATCCCTAACCTATGCCACCTCAGCCCTAGATCCATCCATGTCAGTGCCACCTCATCGCCTTATGTCGCCACGTGTCGTTCCACGTCATCGAGTCTACATACACCGAGTTCACCCATACACTCTATGCCACTGACAGTGGGCCCACATATATTTTCCTTATCTAAAAATAATTCAATTTCCGAAATTAAATATCCAGAGAATATTCTCGGAATATTCCTTTTTCTTTTATCCTCGGATTTTTCCTGAATTCAAACTTCCGGAGGCTATAACTTTTCCGTTTGAACTCCGATTTGACCCATTCTTCTTCCTAAATTCTTCTAAAATCGAGCTCTACCTCCTGGTTTAATTGGTTATTTCATTTGATGTTATTTAGTTAGTTTTTCTTTGTGTTTATTTGTTTTTCGTTTGCAATCGTGTAGATGTTGGAGCGGAAGAGCAGTTTGCTCCAGAAGACGCTGTGCAAGGACAATACTGGGATCAAGGCAAGTGCACTCTTTGAACATATTGAACCCATTTGTGAAATGTTTTGTTTTGAATACATGCATTGTTTTGTTTATAAACTATCGATGGGTAGCGTGACCTAATTGTTATTATTATCCTACCTTTCATAATTATTGATTGCCCATGATTCCATGTCACCCTAGTCTTTGTGAGTTGAACATTGGGCTCAACTCATGGTAGAGTAGTTATGCTTAGCCTGCTCAAGGTTGTTTTACAAGCAAAATATAATTTTGATTAATCATATACTTATAATCACTTTTATATGAACTGTGTGGCTGTGTGCTATCTTTTCGGTAGCATGTGTTGCACCGTGTAAAAAAACGGGCAGATAAAACATTTTTGACCGGGGTGATGGGTGGTTCTGTGTGAACCTGGTTAGGTGGTAATGTATCTGTGTGATCGTTGCCGGGTATGGTCTCTGTGTGAGCCTACTGTTGAGCTGTGTGCTATTGTAGTTTGGCAAGTTGCCTTGGTCAATTAAGGACTTCACTTCATAAGTTATGGATTTGAGCCTAACATGCAACCACATGTTCTCATGGGAAGAACCTGGCCCAGTAGGATTCCGAGTCTTGGCACTGTCAGCCCAGGTGGCTAGATGATAGGAGTTTAGGTTCGCCATGGGGACTTTCTTGTCTGTGTGTGGGAAAGGTGTCTCATGGGGGAAGGCAGTGTTGGGACGGAGTTTCTAAAAAGCCTTGTTACAGACTCCTTGGCCGCACACAACCTGAAGTGTGACACTTGCGCATGGCCGTTTAAAGGACGATGTATCTTGTAGGTCAAGCTGTACAACCTCTGCAGAGTGTTAATTAATCTATTCGAATAGCCGCGTCCGCGGTCATGGACATGCTCGGTGATATCTCATGAGGGGTAGTTTGTGAAAACTTGGAATGAACTGTGTGCAGGTTAATGAATATAGCTATGTGGTCCTGTGTGGACGAATCCTGTGTGGATGGATAGTTGGTAATACCCGTTATTTATAACTATTGTTTTAAACCTGTTTATAAATTGTTTATAACTACAAATTGCTGTGTTATGCAAAATAGCCATTACCTTTGTTGTCAGCTTTGCATATGCATATTTCTGTGTGCTTGCTGAGTATTCCATGTACTCACCTTGCAATTCCCCCAATTCCAGAAGAAAGGTTCCCGCTATTTCCTGAGGAGTTTGCTGCTGAAGACGAGGAATAGGTCGTGAGTCCCAGTTGACTGCCTGTGGCAAGTTGAATGGAGCTACTACGCATTTATCATATTTCCGCTGCTACTTTAATATTTTCCTTAGGCCCTTCGTGGCAGAATAAATGTAAACTTTAGCCATAAGGCTTATCACAGTCATTATTAATATTAAATATTAAGTTTCCTTTGTGATGTTGGCTGTGATATTATCTTTGTGCTAGCTTGATCCTGGACTAGCACTTATACACAGGAGGTCCTATTTTGGGTCCCCACATCAAGTCATACTTTCTGGTCAAGAATGTGCATGTGTATGTGTATGGTAAATTTGTGGGTGGAAAGAGAAAATTGCTAATGATAAATCTTTTTTATACCTCCTCCCCCATTTATTTTTCCTTTGAAATTTTGGAGAGTGCATGGCTACTTTTTTTCTTTCTTTCTTTTTTTTTCATCATCATGCTCCATACTTGTGTGAGCACTTTTTTTCTTTATTTTTCATAGCCATGCCTCTCTCTCTCTCTTGAAAGAATTTTGGAGGAAGAGGCATAAATGACATGGAGTATTTATTTTGTGGAAGATGGACAAAATTAATGAAAAATGAGAAATGCTAACTTCCGGTGTAGAAGTTTAGCATAAGTGCGTGTATGTAGAATGTGTGTGATCTTGACCATGAAAGTATGAAAAGCATTTCACTAGGGTCACAAAACTTGACAATGCTCAATGTAATGACAAGCAACATATGTAGCAAGCTAATCATGAATGATCAACCTATGGCTCTAGTGGGAATGAAAATATCAATGATGAGTTTAGCATCGTTATATTTTTTTTCTTTTTATAAGATTCCCAAGTGTGCAACATGAAGAGCAGGATTTCTATCATCAGACTATATCTCATTCATCAATTACCTAGATAACATGGGGTCCCTATTGGATATATCACCACAAGCAACAAGTAAAGAGCTATGAATAATAGGCATGCATGCTATTTTCAGGGAGACCATGAACTCTAATTGTACAATCCGTAGCTTGAGTTTAATTTACTTTGATATTTTAGAATTGATAATCAAATTAAACTCAAGATAGAATGGATGTCCAAAGGAAAAATTGTGCAAACCTGCGCTCTGTATATAACAAAGGACGATTCATGGTTGAGGTGGTTCATCCGAACTAGAGGTTTGGCTGACCCCTCATTGGGTCTGACTGCATCAATTTACCTTGTTTGGTTTGTCATGGCTCATCACTTCTGGGTGATCTTGCCTTGGTTATGGCGTTGATGTATAAGATCACCCCCACACTTGTCTTTGTACCTGGAGTACTTTATTGGACACAAAAAGAAAAAAGAAAGACAAGAGTGAAGCAAAAAGGGACCCACTTGATTGGAAGACCAAGGAGCCAACTTTATTTTATTTTATTTTATTCATGATATCTAGACCTAAGATAGCTAGAGGAAGGCCTAAGGACTTGGGGCATTGAAAATTAACGGATCAAGGGGGACCTAAGGATTCCGGGTAAAAGCTAGAAGCAATTAGATTCACAATATCTAAGTCACGATCAACTTCTAACGGATCAATAAAAACTTTTAAACGATGGCCATTACCATTTACCTTAAAGATGTTACCTTCGTTGTCGCGCAGCGTGATGGCTCTATGTGATGAAGCCTCGACGACGGTATATGGACCCATCCATTTACTTCAAAGTTTTCCATGTCCGAAAAGTTTCACCCGTGAGTTGAACAGCAGCACCGTGACCCCTGCCTTGAATTCTTTGTGCTTGATCCGCTTATCATGCCATCTTTTGGTTCTGTGCTTGTAGATCTGGGCATTATGATAGGCCTTGTCCCTCCATTCCTCCAGCTCAGAGAACTGCATCTTCCTGTGTTGTCCGGCTCCCTTTAAATCCATATTCCAAGTCCGGATAGCCCAGTGCACCTTGTGTTCCAACTCTACTAGAAGGTGACAAGTCTTCCCGTAGACAAGTTAGTATGGTGACATGCCGATGGGTGTGTTATAAGCAGTCCTATATTCCCAAAGTGCATCAGGTAGCCTTTTCTTCCATGCCTTCCCCATCTCATTGACAGTCTTCTGCAGAATATTCTTGATTTGTCTGTTGCTCGTTTCTACCTGTCTACTTGTCTGGGGATGATATAGAGTGGCAATATTGTGTTGAGCCCCAAGTTTTTGCAAAAAGTTTCGGAAGGTCTTATTGATGAAATGGGACCCTCCGTCACTTATCACCATCCCCAGAGTTCCAAAACGAGGGAAGATAATCTCATGGAACATCTGACGGGCGTGCTTGGCGTCTGCGGCCCTGCATGGCATTGCCTCTACCCACTTGGACACATAGTCAACGGCCACCAGAATATACTCGCAGTCATAGGACTTTGGGAAAGGTCCCATGAAGTCGATGCTCCATACATCAAAAAGCTCGACTTGAAGGTTGTGTGTCAGTGGCATCGCATCCCGATCAGTGATCCCTCCATGCTTCTGTCACCTTGTGCATCTCCGAACGAATTCCTTTGTGTCATCATAGATTGATGGCCAAAAGAATCCACTCTACCAGATCTTTGCGTATGTCCTAAATGCTCCATAGTGACCTCCATATGGGGCAGCATGACACTTCTCAATGATCTTCATGCCTTCATCTACCGGAACGCATCTCCGTAGTAGACCATCTGAACAAACTCTGTACAAGTAAGGTGCATCCCACAAGTGCCTGCGGCTCTCGTAGATCAACCTCTTCTTATTTTCTCCCGGTGGTACATGCCTCACAAGGATAAAGTTGACGATGGCTGCATACCACGGGTCAAAGTCTGTGACTTTCAACAGCATGTCGTCTCGCAGATAGTCATTTATCAGTAGCTCCTGCATGTTAGTGATTTGCATACGCGACAAATGATCTGCAACAGAATTTTCTACTCCCTTTTTATCCTTAACTTCTATGTCAAATTCTTGGAGTAGAAGATGGAAATCTATCTTACTTAGACAAAGTAATTAAATAATATAAGAAAGGAACACGAATGCTTACTTTATAGAAGAATTTTCTCTGAACCCGGAGCAGAGTGTACTGACAACTTCGGTACTCCTCCAGAATTCCTCCTAGGAAGCTACACTCGTCGAGGTAGAAGTCGGATGAGCGCCAAACTTTCGGGCACTCCTCCAGAGCTTCCCCTCACTCTCTACCTAATTCTAATGTAGAAAAGATACAATAGTGCCTGTTGTAATTCAACTCAAAGTTGTGTGTGCGTGAAGTAAGGGAGATGAGCTCTATTTATAGCCTCCATATAATGGTTACAGGTATGGGAAACGACCAAAACGCCCTTATCCGTCATTGGGAATGCATCAGCAGCGTACACGTGGAAGGCCAGGATGAGATGTCGCGTCCCAAATCGACTCTAAAATCTATCCTCGAAATTGTGCAAAGAATAATTAAAATTTATGTGAAAGCCTCCAACAATTAAAATGTGCAAAGATAAAAGTCAAATGAGGCTTGGAGGATTTTTGTATATTTCCTAAAAGCCTAAAATACTTAAACAAATTTTAGTGGAATTTTCAGAGCACAAATAATAAGTGAAAAGAAATAAACAAAGTTAAAAAGGTTTTATAAAAAGAAAACCCTAAAAGAAGTTCTTTTTCTCCCCCCCCTTCCTTCTTGGGCCGGCTCGGCCCATTCCCTCCCTCTCTCTCTCTCTCTCCCCCCGGCCCATCGGCTCCCCGCGCGCGCGCGCGCCGCTGACAGGCGGGCCCGCCCGCCGCTCTCGCTGACGGGTGGGACCCACCTGTCATCTCCCTCCTCCCGCCGCGCCCGCCGCCGCGC